CTATCTTTTCAATAATTCCAAAATCCAGTATCAATAACTAATTTGAACTCGCTATTTAAATATTATTTTCAAATGAATAGGATTATCCATTGTTTTGGCCCATAAGATTAAAAACCAATAAAGCCACAGTCAATTTAAACTTAAATCAATCATTAGACAATGCATATTTTCACAAATTAGCTGCACATAAGTTCGTTACTTATCATGAATAATCTGAAAGATATGAGGAAGGGCAAGTGGGTGTTATTAAACTGGATAAACAAAAACTTACAGAAAAAGATATTGTGAATTTATCTAAAGAAAATCAAATACTGAGTAATAAAACAGCATTTGTTTGTGAAGTATACTAACTAGTAGATCAAATAAAATAGTAAATTAGATTTAAAGTCACAATGAAACGCAATAAAGGAAATTACACTAAGCACTAAAATGAATGATAGATAATAATTTAATAGAGATTATTATAATCATATTTAAAACATGAATAATGTATGTGATGCCCCATATAACTAGACTTGCTCTTTTGAGTCTATATAATCATATAAAGCAAACTATCAACCAAGAATAAAGCATAACAAAAATTTAAATTTTAGGATCAATAAATTTACAAAACAACAATCAACAATTTTAACGATCAATACAATAATTTAAATAAGCCATGTTCGAACCACCACCCTAAAAATGCTGCAATAAATTAATAATTTACCGAAAACACTTTATTAAACAAATTAAAATATTAATTACAACAAAATCAGATTAAAAAAGAAAGAGAATATTTAATCAGTAAATCACTTTTTATATTTGATAATTCTTAAACTACAAACAAAATTATCAATTTATAATTTCATCTTATATTATTCAAATGTTGAGTTCATTAAATAGATGACAGGCCGACTAAAATTTCCCAATTTACTAAGCAATTATAATTTAAACTATATATAATTATTTAATATTATTACTCAAAATTTCAGTAGAAAAGCCTCTAAATTCTAATCAGAGATGGGTAACATATTAAATTGAGTCTAAGAAAGCATAGCAATTTATCCAAATTAATGCATACTACACGGTGGGTGAATTTTTAATTGAGTTCTTTAATTAATATTTTTAAAATTAGATCATCCACTTCGAATTACATAGCTGAAGTTAGAAATTTGATAAAAAATAGATAAACATGAAATAATAAAGGTAAATTATATATTTGATCATCGGTGTTGATTTTGTTTTAAATTAAAATAAAGAAAATTAGATTCAAATAAAGGTTTTAGAAATTAATATTATTCATTAATTTAAATTTATATGAAAGATAAATTTTAAAAATATTGAAATCATCAATCGAAATCAATATTGATCTTATTACAAATTTTTCGATAACTTTAATTTCTATCTTCTCTTGTTTGATATGATATCTAATTTCATGAAAATATCTACAAAGCAAAGAATTTAAGCATTAGAATTCAGTAACAATAAAAAGTTAAAAGCGATAATTTAATTTAACTTAAAAAAAAATTCTTCTTAAGTAAATCGAAACAGGTATTTCCTATTGAATA